TCACAAAACAGAGCTCTTGGCCTCTGTTATAAAGCTTCAGAGATTCACAGATTTTTAAAGCCAGAAAGGATCACCCAGTTTGACCTTCTGCATTAAACAGGCAACAGGACTTCCCTGGGTTAAATCCTGCTTCCAATCCCAACAGCTGCATTTCAATTGCAGCATATCTTTTCTAGATTTAAAAATTTCCAGTGACAGAAAATCTACCCGAAGCCTTGGTGAATTGCTCCAAGTGCTAATTACCCTTACTAGTGAAAAATCCTTGCCTTATTTCCACTTATAATTTGTTCAGCTTCTAGCCCCTGGATCTTGTTACGCCTCCTTCTGCTAGACTGGAGAGCCCTCAAATTACTGCTCAATATGTAGGCTCTTATGCCATGTTATCAGATCACCCCTTCACTTGCTCTTTGATAAGCTAAATAGACCAAGCTGCTTATGTCTTTTCCCATGCTTTACTCATTCTCATGGCTCTCTCCTCAACCTTCTCCAATCTTAACATTCTTCTTGAACTGAAAACACTAGGAACAGATGTAGTTTTCCAGCAGCAGTCACACCAAGGCTAATGCAGAGGTAGTATAACATCTTCCTTCTCACTCAAAATTTCTTTGTTATGTTTCCTAGGATCACATTACCCCTTCAGCTGAGTATCGAACTGGGAGCTCATGATCAACTAATGATCTACTAGGATGTTTTTTTCAGTCACTGCTTTCCTAGATAGAGGCCCATGTTTGCCTTACTAAATAGTCCAGGTCTTTTTATACCAGTGATCTGCCCTCTTCCTTTCTTACCGTCACCCTAACCTGTCTGTCAAGTGTAAATGATCAGCAGTAAATTTCCATTTTCTCCCAAGTTACAGATGAACACATTCAACAATGTCACCTGAGCTGAGTAACATTTACATGGCACATATTTCATTATGATTCTGGTTCCCTCCTTCTCTAGCGCTTCCTGTAGAGGTTGAATACCCTTACCCTCCCATGAGAGCTGAGACGCATTGTACACCAGAAACTGAAGGCACGTTTTTCTTTTGGATCCGTTACAATCCCCACTCCCAGCCGTTCCACAGAAACCAAATGCAACTGAAACCAAGTGCTAGATTTCCAGCTGGTGTGACCATTGAGAAGCAACAATGATTGGCACCACCTAAGAATCTAGCCAGGAGAATTTTACTAATTTTTCTGTTTTTTCCTACTGGGCATGAAATCCCACTTGGTGACCTGAGCCAGTTTCATCCTCGCCCTCAACAACTTTTATTTTTTGGAACACTAAAAACAGCCAGCAAAGATTCGTGGTGCTGTCTTAGGTGCTGGAGAAGCTATTTGCTCAGTAGTCATGGAAAAGGGATGAAAGTGCCATTGGAAGGAGTGTGAGCATTAATTTAGATTGACAGCAAAGTAAATGTTGCAATTGCAAAGTATATGGATCGACTCATGCTGAAATGATTGGTGCATTGATTTTTAAGGGTCCCCATCTTTTACGTATGAAATGAGATCTCTTACAGTCCCACGATAAAAACAGTGAGAAGTGCATATTAATGAAAAGATCTAGCAAAATTCAAAGACTAAGGTCAGAGTGTTTGAGGAAATATAAGGTTGAGATCTATTAGCATTACTTGAAAGGTCATGGCAACAACTTCTTTGCAGCTCTTTTATTGGTTAACACCACTGCTATATGCAATTAGTAGAGGTAGTGGATTATAAAATATGTCAGATCATGCTACTCTCTCTTCTCTGAGCTCTTACAGGTAATGGGACTGCAACATGTGAATGCCTCACCCCATCAACACTTTCTTGTATTGGGGTATTGAGGGAAATACCACCTGGTATTTGCTCCAACAGAGGCAAAAAAAACCCCACAACATTTTCACATGCAGAAAGAAGCAAAAATAAAGGCTATTGTCTGAAATGAGCTCACTGAAGGGACAGAGAGCATGAGCACAAGTATCCGCAACTGGTCTAAACTGGCACGGCTCTAGTGAGATTGGTAGAGTCACAGCAGTTCACACTAGCTGAGGATATGCCCTTAGGTGCTGGTAACACTTGATCTGATGTTAATTACTGCCAGCATAATTAACAGTAATGAGTTTCCTTGTTGCCACTGATCTTTGCATGATGTAAAAGCTGCTTACTTCATATTTTCAACTGCCTTCACTTCATCCAGGCAATACTTGGAGGAGCTTTTTAACTTAGGGATTCACATTTTAAACATCCAGAATTAACGAGAATTCAATTTGACATGCTAGTTGCTACATGCATTATGTATTGCATTGGAAATAAGCAAAATTCAGTACATCTGTTTTCTTAATGGCAAATGATGATGTTTTCCTATGTATTTAGAATATGCAATATATCTTATGATTCTTCCACTAGGGCCCTTAGAAATGACATATTTCCTCAGAGAGAAAACATTATGTCAGATCTAATGTAGTTGTAAGTGTAATGGCACATTTTAAGGCATGCTGAGAGCTAGACAGCCGATGACTAACTTATGGAGATATATCTATTAGCTTAGGCAGAATGCTAATAAATCTCCACTCTTAGGGCGCTAACTGGAAAGGCCTGGCTCCTTACCTTTGATATGGGGAATGAAGTGGTGTCGGAAGGGGGAGTAAGGGCGGGAGTCATTGTGGGTGGAGCTGAGACTGCTAGTGCGCAGGTATGACAACCGTTGCACACCAGTAGACAGCAGTTCTGCAGTAGCAAAGGATCGTGGGGCAGGACAAAATGAGAAAGAAAAACAATAAGAGAGAGGCAGGGGAAGAGGCTTCACAGGAAAAAAACAAAAAGCACTGATCAATTAGGATTCTGAAAAGCAGGAAGAAAAAAAGGTTAAAGTACCACCAGGGATCAGAAATGTTAGGCAAAGTTGAACCAGGCTCAGATTTGTATTGCTTTTCCCATTTAGTTTAACATTCTTTGGCTGAAGGAGCTACCAATCTGAACTCGCTTACTGGAAAATAATCTGCCACCACCATGCAAACATTGCAAACTCTGCATCCAAATGCATTTAGAAAGCAGTTTTGAGAAAGTATCTGATCAAACAGTGTCAGTCAAGAGGCATGCAAGATGTTTTCTGTCCTTTTAAGAAATTCCAAAGATGATGCCAACATCAATTGGGGCACCAGTGGAGAGGAGAGGCGAAAGGCTGAAAACTTTTTCAGAACATGGGAGGCTTTTGAATGTTAAAGAAACATTATGCTGACAGTGTCAACGAACAGGGGCTCCTGCAGAGTGGCTCAAATCTTACGCAAGGGCTACTCTAGAGCCAGGCAAAGAAAGGAGTTATGTGAAGCCACTCAGTCACACAAAAGGCATTTGGACTCCTGCAAACAATATAATGATGACAAGGGTCATCTGCAAAAAAGTGCATGTACTGCTATAGCTGACCAATGCAGAATAATACCAGGTGAAAACCACAGACCATTATTAATAACCATCCCAAAACATATAGGAAAGATAAAAATGAAGGAGGCTAAAGGAAAACTGTATTATGTATGAAACAGCTACAAAGGGGCAATACACATTTCTTGGGAATTTTGCTAAAGATGTAATATTTAAATAGGAGATGAGCTTGACCCAAATTCCCCAGGGGATCCCAAGGGCCACAAACTTTGGTAGATCTCGAATCTAGATCCAAACTTTGCGGCTTGGGCCCACCTGTACATCAAAAGAAAGTTAAGGAATGTAAAAATGGAGTGAAATTACTCCACAGGAAGGTACTTGAAACAAAAGGTATTTTGGAACTGAAACAGTGAAACCCACAATCACAATACAGTTTGGAGTAAACCTTGGATTCTTCCAAGTCTGTGGTAAAACACATCAAGATGTGAAAACCGTAAGGAGTCTGTTCCAAGAGGAACACAGAAGTTTGCAGCTTTTTCAGACTTCATCAGCCTCCTTTGATTCTAGCTACAATCAGCATCATCAAACAACATCATCATGTTATCAGCATGATGTACCTTACAAGATTTGATTCAAAGTTCTGTGCATTAAATTGGGCCCTCAAAATGAAGCATTTGCTGCTTGATATAACTAGACATTTTCAGCCTGCTACTACTAGCAAACTATCACTCTGCACTGATCCTTCTTTAGTGACCCCGATTTAAAAAATGCAGTTACTACTGAATGTGATCTTCTGGTGTGCCAACCATTGTTATTGCTCAGTAGTGCTGAGCAGGGTATCGTTGCATGACTCCACTGTTTAAAAGCTGACGGTCAAGATTTGATACATCAATCTAGTGTGAAAATCTAGCATACTTATAACAGCATGTTATGCACAACCTTTTAGAACCACATTTAAAAATACATTATGTATGTGTTTTTAGAATAGAACAATTTTATACATACATTTCATTGGAAACCTCCAGCAGTACATGCATTTGCCTATTTTGTACATACAACTGTATTACTTCTAAAACGCTTCTGAAAACGTCACCTTTAACAATTCATAACTTCCTAGGTTTTTAATTAGGAAATTCGCCTTGATGAATATTTGCTTAAGATTTCAAAAATGACTAGTGATTTTATGTGTTCCACTTGTGACAACTTGAAGGAATCTTATTTTTTTAAGAGTGGATGTTTCATTCTGAAAACCAGGCCCATTTAACAAGCCTACCTACAAAGAGTCAGGATAATTAGCGACTTTTAAAAATGTCAGCAATTATTCTTGTTTCCAATATGTGTTATTTTCCCTCAAACAAAAAAGAACCACCCTGAATAGCAGGATTCACTGCAGCAAATAGCAGATTATTTTCAAATACATACACATATGTCCAAATCTACATATTAAAAGAAAAAAAATCAGTAATATATGACACATCCATAAAATATACTAGCTGATCTTACATATGTTGATGACTAAGAACAATAAACAGGAATGGAGGTTTTAAAATTTGCAGCTACTTTTCAATGCTATAGGTAGAGAAACAGCTTCTTATTTCCATGGGCAAGTGATGTAATAAGAAAACAAACTGCTTCCAGGTATAAAGCAGTTTCCCTTACCAGGTCTGTGAAAATGCTGAGGGGACCGTGACATTGTGGGTGTGTAGCTGTGACGACTGTATACAGGAGAACTGATAGAGCCTTGGCTAGTTGACCTGTGAATCATTCGATCCCGAACATCCTGATATCCCTGGAAAGTAAGACGCATTAGATGAATTAATTACAAAAAATTAAATGAACTCCAGGCATTTCTCCAACTGCATATGGCTTTCAAAGACCTGAAAAGAGCAACAGAACATCTTTCCAGCTTCTAGCCTATTATCATACAGTGTTAATTGCTTGTCCATTAGTTTTCACATATGAACAACTGCTGCTCATATAATCCAATCCATTATGTCTAAGTGCTAAAATCTGGGGCCTTCAAATTCTATGCATCCTGCAGACTGAATTCTGTTAAGTAACACTTAATCATACTTAAAACTTAATCCTAATTTTTCAAATCACTAATAATTTGTGTACCTGAATTTCCCATGACTCCTTAAGAGGACTTGTTTTTCACAGGGCATGCCTACACTGGAGACAGTGGTACACTATGGCTGCAGCCATCTATCCCACAGTGGAGCAGAGTGGAAAAGGGTGCTCATGCATCACCAGCACTACCCACACAGTGGGGAGCAGGGGTCCACATGCTGGCCATGCCTTTCGGAAGGGCAAATCTTGGGTGCCCTCCTTGCAGCATATGCCTGATAGAGGGTGCAACTCAGGCACTGCACACCAGCACCAAGTGTAGCCCCCTGCTGTGGGGAAGCTGGATAGTCCCAGTGTAGAGATACCTACACCTTTACCGACACCTCCGCTACTCAGTTTAAAGCTAGCCTGGGAAACTGTTCACTATACTGCAGTCTGATGTGTACATGTGCCCAGAAAGTACTAAGGCTCCCACCTCTAAAATTCAGGCAGCTTTGCTGCGTCTCAGACTGGTACCCCAAATCACTAATTACTTTTGAAAATCTGAAATCCTGGAATCTTGGTTCCTGGCAAAAGCGAAGCAGAGCGGGGCAAACCTTTCCTACAGGAGAGGGGCAACTGGAAAGCTCCAAGACCAAAAGCATGTTCATAAATTTACTGTGTACTTCATAGCATGGGGAAGGCAGGACACCTTTCACTTTAAAAAAACTATGTACAGCAATAACCATTAAAACTCTGACAAATGCCTTTCCAAGTATGTCACATTGCTATGATGTTTAAGAGTATTTCCCTAGCCTAGGGGAATACTGTAGAGATGTTTCCTCCAAGCATAGGCAAAACTCACACAGATCCCAACAGTAACCACTGCAGGCTTAGGGCCACACCTTTGGCTGCTGTAAATGAGCACAGTTCCTGGGGCTCCAGCCTTGATCTACATATCACAATAAAGATGAGTTTCCAGACATCACATCCCACGGTACCTTCACTCTCCATATAACCTGCCAGTCAGCATGAAATACCCTCTCTACTTTTGATTTTCTTGGCCTTTTAATAATCATGCTATGTAAACAGAAAATGGAAATAGGCATCAGGCTGCCTAGGACCATCAGTAACTCCACTTCCTGATATCAACAGTTCCAGCAGCGGTGACACACTGCCCCAGGAGGGTTCAATCAAACTTACTTCTGCAGACGGTGTAGGAGACAGCGTCCTTGGAGACTGTAAGAGGCAAAAGAGAGAAGGTTACAGAAACAGCATGTCTCCTGCCTTGCCAGCAAATGCTAATCCAAACAGCCCCAGAGATCTGGCAGTAACGTGGTATCTAGCTCTAAAGCTGTGGTTTCTCCTCACTGCCCAGAGCTTGGTTTCTGAAGTGCTGAAGCAGTTTAGGTTCACGCTACCCAAAAGCAAGTATGATTAATTCACTTGAATATCCTGAAACAGCATCTTTGAAACATCTAACTAGGGCACTAATCGAAATGTAGCTGCAAAGACAACGAGGAAAAAAGGGCTATTAATTTAATAACTGTGCTTGTTATGTGGAAAGCTTCACAATGGCAATTAAATACATTTTAACTCAGGGCTCTGAGTGGGAAACAGAAATGCAGGACAATCTCCTACTCCTAAACAGCCACACACTGGCAATTGCCCTCCTATCTCCAAAGCCTTACATTTCTGTGTGTGTGTGTGTGTGTGTGTGTGTGTGTGTGTGTGTGTGTGTGTGTAAAATGAAGAGACAGTTAATATTTAATCATACTTATTTTATATTGATTCATACACGCATCATATTTCTTAGCACCTTGCTTTGGAAGAGCTGCTAACACCACTCAGCAAGGTGGAGGCAGAGGTACCATTTTCATTAAACTGATAGAAAAAGTATTGCCCAAAGTCATCTATAGAGTTGGGAACCCAGCTGGGAATAGGAGTCCTACCTGATTTCCAGCCACAAGTTTTTGAGTACAAGAAATTCTCTTCCTCCAAATATCAGAATTTTAAATATTTCTCATATGTAGTGAACACTAGCATTATTCATTTGACTGCCATACTAAATCCGGTGATGGCTGGTGTTCCTAAGGAATACTGTAGTTACTGCAAAACAATTCTACTTTTAAAACACAGTGTGTCAGAAATAAAACAGCTGTTCTGGCCTAACTACTGCTAATATGGTGACAGCAGTATAAAATGTACACAGAATTTCTGATGGCAAATGAATCTATCAATTCCTTGTGCGTATGCCAAACATGCACATCATCTGTACAGCAGGCTGCGCTGTCCTCCATGTCTTACACACTCTGTAGTGCAAGACTATCACCTCCGGAGGAGCTGGCATTGCTGCAAATGCAAAGTATGTGAAAACAGGACTGATTTTTTGGCTTGAGTGCAAGAGATTTCACCATGTGCAATTTATCACATGGCTTTGTTAAACCACTTTTAACCACAGAGGAGCCCGTCTAAGTTTACAAAAATCCTGCAACACCAGATCACCAGGTCAGCACATATTTTAGAGCATGACCTATACAAGTTTTACTACTTGTATATATATACTTGTATATAATCACAAAACATTTTGCAGATTATTCCCCAAAACAACTGTTTAACTCTAAGCTAAAACTCTTCAACTATCTATATAAAAAAGTCCTATCCCTGATACACCATACCTGTTTTTGTTTCTGTTTTTTTGAAGACTGAATTTGGTCCTTGACTTGCAAATAAACAATATCCTCTGATCTGATCTGGAAAGTGGGAGTCAGTTTCTACTGGAAAGTATAATTAAATGACTGGAGGCTGGGAAGATAACATAAGAAGTGACTTCCCTTGCATCTATTCTACATGTGCCAGTGCTAGGTAAATAGTCCCACCATGTCTTCTACGGCTTTGGAGAGAGGGAACCGCACCCATTTCTTCATTCACTGGTGAACTGCCATATCTGAAACTCTGAGTCTGTCAAGGAAAATTTAGCTCATCATTGTTTGGTTGGGACATTGAAAGGGCTCTTTAAAAAAATCAACATAGAAGACTTCCAATTACTCAGCAACATATTTAGGGATGTTTAGGAGGTATATTTAGAAGGAAAAAAATGAAGTCCAGCAGGAGCAAACCAGTGAACACAGAAAGCAGTGATTTCAAAACTAAAATCCTGCTTAAAAAAAAAAAAGCACACACACACACACACAATGGGAGTTAAATTCCCTTCCCATTCAACTCAGTGATCAAACTTTCATTCATTTTAGTAGGCTTAAGAGTTCATCCTCAAATCCTTGAAACCAAAGGTTTAACGTTACAGTCCTTGAGTGCTTTGCTGGATCAGGGCATGTTACCTTATGTCACACTGGCATGTGCCATTTTACTGGCAGCATAATTATTGTTTCAGGATTTCTGGGCTTGACCCTGTGGCAGGACTCTCAAAAGAGCTTTCTTTTCTTCAGAACTGCAGGACTGATCTCCCCCCATTCAGAGCAAAGGCCAGGTTAAAGAAACTGCAATTGCAATGGCAGCAGCAGACTGAACACTTGAAATACAAGGAATTTGGAGGAAACGAAACCTTCCACAGTATTTATGCTCCAAAAGCCAAGACATCCAACTCCATCGGTGATCAGAGCACGACGATGGGGCAGGATCTAAGGATGGGCAGATTTCAAATACATTCAACATCTGGAATAACTGCCAACCTTTCAAGAGTCAGCCCAGCTTGCCTAACATTTCTCCCAACTGTAAAGCTGGACAAATAAAAGGTATCGCTTAACAAATCTTTCTTCTAGAAAGTTAACTGACAGCCCCTGGGCAACATGCTGTTCTATTATCACTTCACATTACAGAACTTACTCCTCACTCGACTCCTGCTTTGTTAAAAACTGACTCACTCCATCATATCCTTAGGCTAACCTAACTGTGCTAGACATGTTAACTGAAGTGCTAGGTTGTTGGGCTCCACTAGATGGTGCCACTTAAAAACTTTTTTCATTGCACACTTTTAAACCAGCAATTTAGGGATTTATCAAGGAACAAACTGAGCAGATTACAGGGAGAAGCTATTATAGCCATTTGTGAAATGCTTAAAAGGAAGCAAGTCTAATGCCACCCTATCCATCTTTCTCTAGAGCTAATGTGTATGTTCTCTTCTTAATTCACTCTGCAATTTGGGGACTTTTTCACGGCAGAGGTATTTTGATATTGCTTTGGAAGTGTTTCTGTTAAACAGTCTTTCAAGGGTTCAGACTTTCTGTCTTTTAAATACACCCTATGGGCACCTATATACAAGCAGTGAGGCTGCTCCAATGCGCTGCAATTACTTGAGTCTGCTGGAGAATTACCGCGGTCCAGCAGAATCCAGCGTCATGTGTATCAGCGTCCCCGTGCAGAAAAATCATGGTGGGGGCACTTTAACTAAAGCTTGTTTGATGAGTTTTAGTTGATGAGTTATTTAGTTTACCCCTGCCACCATTTTTCAGCACAGGGATGCTAATACATGAGATGCTCCAGGTGCTTTAATTAGAATGGCTCTTGGAGTCGCTCTAATTAAAGCGCCTCCCCCCCACTCCCAGAATGCGTGTATAAATGCCCCATGTGCCTGGCAGTTATATCAGGACACAAGGGAGTGTGGCTCAGGAAATACAATCACTCCTAAGTCCTCAAGACATTCAGAAGGCATGTGCAGTTTGAAAGACCCATTTAGAGGTGCAGGCTCCCCACAACCTCAGCCAGGCACACCTCAACCTGCAGTATGAGGCAAACCATTGGAAGAGGGTGGCAAGTAATGAAGAAGCTTCCTGCTCTGTGTTGTAGGTGTTTTTTAACTAGAAACTCCTTCGCTTTGTCTTCTTCAGAAGGTTGTAGGACTTCTCTATTTGAGTTGTTGATGGATGAGGTTTGGAAGTTCCTGTCCAGATCTCTTGCGATGCTCAGAAACAACTGAGCAAATAAGCAAACTCAGCGTGTCTAATGGCTGGCTTAGTTCTCCCTGTGTCCCTGCTTCCACCATAGAGAAAGCAAGGGACAAAGCAACTGCACAGGGGAAGGCTGAAGTAGCCTGTCACCAATTCTGCTCTTGTACAACTTTTCTGTCTGAGCTGGAGGGGATTATCAAAGGGCCTCAAAATTCAGTGCCGTCTGTACCCAGCCAGCTTTGCACTGATACAGGTGTGTGTCAAGGGGTCAGTAGGGTTGAAGGTGGGGGAAGTGATTTATATCCTGAGAGCCAAGGATGCTTGCACCTGTCTTGATTTTCAGTAGCCATCCGCCCTGCTTCTTTGGAAATCTGACTCTTGCTTTACTTTAAATAGCAAGTCAAACTTAAACAGCAAGTACTTATAAATTATGTAGCCAGGAATGCACAATGTAAGAAATGAGTTGAGTTTCATCTGAATGAACAGCTTTTGTTGAGTGTAGATTTTAATGTAAAATACATGAATCACTTCCAAATCTTAAAGTCAACTTTGTGGCATGTTTAATCATTATTCAGTGAGATAAGTATTTAGGACGGTGGCTGTTTAGTATAGTTTGCAAGGACAATGTAGTTCAAAACCCTGACTGGTGATGAAGGTGTTCTCATTCCACAGAAGATATATCCAAATATACTTATTGTGCCCAAGGCTTATAACAGGACATGGCAAATAAGGTCTATGTACACTGTTTGTCAGCATGCCAAATTTGTGTTTAAAAGCAGTATTGATGATAGAGTGGAAATCACTCCCTTCTTAGGGCCAGATTTTGTGGTCCTTAACTGAGCACAATTTTTATCTGGAGTTAATGGTAGCTACACAATATTAAAGACCAAAATCTTTGGTGTCTTGAGTAAATGCCAGTAAGCTAAGCTCCTTGGCACCTCTCAGTGTCAATAAATGTGTAAAAAGATAGAGTTTAAAGTATAAACTAATCGATTTCTGTCCCCCGTCCCCCTTCACATAACATTTACTGATGACTAAATCAGACACAAACCCTGTGCAAGTCACTCCACTCATAGGAGCTTATTACAAAAAGATGTAAACACTGCAGTCCCACATTGCTATTTTTTTCTCATATACAGCACTACCTGGCATATAATATGCAACTTGTTTTTGAAAGGGAGAATAAAGAAAAAAAGATTTTTCCAGAGTTACGCATGCATAGAGCAGGGACAGAGTTTGATCGTCAGCTAACTTACCCTCCCTTTCTTGCTTAACTGAAGCTGAAACTAGAGGTGCATTGATACGTTGGTCCTATATCAGATCAGAACCAATATAAGGAAAATTGAAAGTATCAGCAATTGGCTTTTTGGCTGATATGGCTGATAACATTGCCGATAAATTCCTCGTGCAGCCGCAATGCAGCACGCAGGCAGCCAGGAGCACAACCCGGCAATGTGGAGAGCAGCCGGGTCCAGCTGGTAAGTCTGTTGTGAGGGAAGGGCATAGTGGGGGGACAGATCGAGGCCCCTGTGGTGAGGGAGGGAGTGGGGCTGGGGCAGGCACTATATAGCTGGGGCAGGGCATGGGATGGAGCCACAGCTCATCCGCGTGGTGCAGGGGGTGGAGGGGTGGCTCCCACTGCTGCATGCACCCTGGGAGGGCATGGGGGGCTTGTGCCCCCGGATCTGCATGTGAGACAAGGGCAGGCTAGTGCTGTGGGCTGGGGCCAGGGGCAGCACCAGGCTCTTCCCAGCAGGGTGGCTGAGCTGGGCTGCCTTTGGAGCAGGTGGCAGTGGCACTGGGAGGGGAGCTACAGTGAATGTTGGGGCGGCTGCAGCCCCCCCATCCTCCCCCCCCGTAGCCCCCTTCCCAGTGAAAGGCCTCTCTCAGAGGCACTGCATGGTGGCTATAGCCAAGGCTGGAGACTTTGCCACAGAATGCTCTGGTATTCTTTTGGAATAGCCTATTCCACCAGGAATATCAGCTTCTTAAGGTGAAGAACTTAGTAAACGACACTGTATCAGATCTGAATTTGTTTCATGCAACCATCAAATACTGAATATAAGGTATTGAGTCATATTGAGAAAGGACCCCTTCCCTTTGTGAGCTGCTAGTATTAGTGAAGGTAAGAAATGGAGGGGAGCCATGTACCTACATCTGTAGCTGCCCACACATTGCAACTCAAAGCTTGAGTCAATGTTATGGTTCCTTCTTTCAAACATGGACAAGAGAAATGAAAAGCGTTTTAATCGCAGCGACAGCCACATTGAAGAGGATCAATTATACAGTAGTTTCAAGACAGTATGGAAACACAGCTAGCTTTGAATGACAGCAGGACTCACATGTGGATTTCCTTACCTCTCCAAGACTCTGTCTGTCTTGTCTGTCCTCGTAGGCGGAAGTGTAGAATGGTTCGTAGGTAATTAGGTCTGGACGTTCAATGTCGTAAATGGCCTTGACTTTGGGAATGGCAGCTAAATCCTTGTAATCAAGGATCTCATTGTCTACTTTTGCCTGAAGGTCAAAGACAGAAAATAAATTAAGAGACACAAATACACCAGTAACTTCTATTTTGCACGCATTAAGCTCTGGGGGAATTGACTTTCATAATGCAGTTAGGGAAAATCCTTTGCTGTCATTCCATTTATGTACGCAGCAACTGTTTGTTCTTCACCAGCATATGAAGAACAAAGTGTTTTTTATCTTAAAAATCTAGGGGAAAAGCAGAACAGTTTAAACAGACTGCACCCTTTGCAGTGTCTTCAAAACTATCTACCATCTATCTGCATCCATGTCTAGCAACCACCGCCTCATATTCAGCGGCTGTGGTCAAGATAGCTGTAAGCTCACTAGTAAAATGTGGTAAACTCGTTGACAAACAGAACAGACATTCAGTTTAGTTATGCCACTATGCGTGCGAGCTTCTGTCTAATGCACGGGTGAAAACCTGAACCTGGAAGCAGGCTCCGAAAAGAGCTGTTTGCATACCAACATGAAGATGAAGCTGCTATAGCGGGAAGAGGGATTAGAGGGGCAGCAGTTTGCTTGTTTATCTATTTCTTTTGATGTTGCTGAAATTTAAAAATCAATCATTTCAAGTTCTTGCTGGTTCTATGCAAACAGCTTTGATTATTAAAACTGAAAGCACTTTAGGAGTCTGATTTTGTTTTCAGCTCATGATTTCTTTGGCCCACTTCATGAGGCTGGACATCTTTCTACCTACATCCGGTCCCCTAGGCTGATATTTACAATTTTCAGAGCTGGTTTCCAGGGCAGTTTTCTATGCCAAATAGATATTAAATGCTGCACTTCAAAATCATATGGGTTTAAATACCTGAAACAACTAAAAAAAATTAACTACCTTTGATCAGTTTGGCTTTGGCTTTTTTTCACTCTACTTCCCCCCTCCCCTTCCCTGCTCTACCTTTGGTTTTCCTAATTTCTTTCTTTTTACATTCCCACTGACACCCTGCCACACTTCTAGCTTCTTTTGTTCCTTGGAGTCTCAGAACAACAGAGACTCCCTATGCCTGACGATGGGCGACTGCACCTGAAAGCTTGCTAAGAACTTTTTTCCAACTACTCAGTTGGTCTAATAGAAGATATCACATCTACCCAAAGAACCTTGCCTGATTATGTCCTTAGACCAGGGGTGGGCAAAATGTGGCCCATGGGCTGGATGTGGCCTGCCAAGCCATTCTATCTGGCCCATGAGGCCCCTAAAATTTTTAGAAAATTAACATTAATCTGTCCTGGGCTACCTGTCATGCAGCCCTCGATGGCTTGCCAAAACTCAGTAAGCGGCCCTCCGCCCAAAATAATTGCCTGCCCCTGCCTTAGACCAACTCGGCTACAACCAAAAACACAGCTTTGTCTCCCTGGCTGCCATTCAATGAGCTAAGGAAATTTAACCCTTAATAATTGCTATACATGTAAATGAATATAATTTTATATATGTATCTACATCATTAATCTAAATGTAAATGCTCTATATAAAATGTATAATTATACACATGCATGCATAATTACATATGTAACAAATTTGTGTGTGTTTGTGTGCGCGTGTATACACACACACAAACACACACTCATACATACACACTCAGGTCTATTATATGAACAAGTGTATATACACATATTCATTTCTGATCTGAGAATGTCTGGACAACTTTAACTAGTACAAGTTAAAACAGACACTTGTATAATGCTTGCTGCAGAGCAGGAATACATCAGATGGGCCTAAGCCTGCACGGTGAGGCTGTGCTGTGTGACAAGAGGCAAGATTCATAAACTGGCCGAGGGGTATGAAGCAGCACATTGTCAGCAGGATGGCAGTGCTCCAGAACCTCTTTCATGATTTAAAATCAGCAGTGTGTAATAGCTTTAATTTATTGACTGCTTCTTCTCTAGTTGAAAGGCACTGAAAAACTAGAGTTGACTTGTATAAGAACAGGCCTGCTGGACCCCTTGCTCAGTTTTTCCATCTTTTTACATGAGCCATCAGTAAGTTTGTATCTGATAGTTGAAAAGTTCAAGTGTAGCATGTTCTCTATTATCCTGCCCCCCACCCCCCATTTCCTCCCCAGTATTGCCTTGACAAACAGCCCCTTTCTTCAGCTAGGATTTTGAATAGCATAGAGCAGGAAGGCAATGCCTTTTGGACCAAAGGACTTCCTCCAGCTAGGAAAGGAAGAAGGTGTTAATGAACCCCTCAGATGCCCGAAAAAGCTTAATAAAAACAGGGAAAGACTAAAGTAAATTTAAAACATCTGGGCCAATTCTGAATTGTTGAGTCCATCTCCAATTACTTTATCACAAGATCAAAAACTACAAATCTAAGAATCCAACATCAGGAATGGAGAGGAAGGTGTCCTGCTACTCTCTGATTGTGAATCACATGCAAATGACGTGGCACAATGAAAATGCTAGTGATGGTCCCATGTTTAGCCTGGAAAGCATAACAACTGAAACATGCTCAACCCCATTTTCCTTTCTTTTAAAACAAACTCTTCTTCAAAAACCAAAATGCCTGATCTCTTCACTTGTAGGTATTTAGGAGGCAAAGCTTTGCTACACCAGAATCTCCATGAGCTCTATATGTAAGATGATAAATCCTCAGGGCAGCAGGCAGGAAAGCACAGTAACATCCTACATAGTGGGTACATCTACATGTGCAATTAATGTGACATGATAAACTCTGGTGCAGTTTGTGCTGGAGTAACCTGCTCCTGGGCACAGCAGCTACATGTGCACCTGGGACAGTAACACTTTGAGCCAGGGCAGAGCAGGCCTTGGCTGGCAGCAGCCTTGAGGGGTCAGTACCAGGTTCCAGGTGGTGGTATCATGTGGCAAAGGGCTGGCTGGAGCATGAGTCACTGTGTGCCTAGGCAGCTGACTGGGTGCAATTTCTACCCCGGTCACTCTCTACAAGCGCATTTCAGCATAGTACGTACTCTGCTGTAAGATAGTACTGTCCTCAGCAGTACTATCCTATGGCAAAGTTAATTAGTTTACTGCACCTTAATACCAGCATATGTGTAGACGGTGATGCTTTACTGTGGAGCTAATTAACCAACTCTCAGTAAAGTGCACACCTAGATGTACCCAGGGAGCCTTGTCTCAGCTTTCTCCAAAGAGAGCGTGGTTTCAAAAGGTGCGATCCGCACGAAACAATTTGTCGTTGTATAACTATGTAGGAGTTATTACTAGTTAACCACTTTAAAAGATGTGCACATATCAGCTGTTACTTCCTGTTATAGCTCATGAACCTGTACTGATACAAACGTAGCTAAACTGCCCTAACTTTGACTCTGAATGAAGCAAGTTTGAAGTTGGATAGGTTTTGTTATGTTTGTATCACTACAAAATCAGGAAGATGTAGCAGTTATATTGTAACATCTTATACTGATAACATGTGGTTACAACTTTTCCATCTGTCTATACCCATAGAGGGGAATGATTTTTTACTAACATAGCTATCCTGATGCAAAATCCTGGAATGAAGTCTGTTACATAAGAATAAGGGTATCTTTTACTAGTGTATCTTATTTGACTTCCCAAACCAGGATACACTAAACCCATTACTTTACTAGGGGAATAATGGCTCATTAACAGGAAATGTTACTTACATAGATAGTATGGCCTGGTGAGCCAGGTATACTGGAACCTGGTCTGGAATAAATACTTTCAGAGGATGTTCTTGTTTGCTGAAAAACAAATATTCACTTGTAAGAGTTTAGCTGTGGCCACAGCCTTGATAATCTAGATTATTAAAACACAGAAGGCTTGCATTCATCCCTAAACGGATTCAAATTTAAAAATGTAAACATATGTTTAAACATAAATGCAACAAACTCAAGCGTTCTAGCAAATTTCCATCTTATGATGCAGGTATGATTTCTCTTTCAGGAAGGGTTGTGGGAGGGAAAGGGAGTGTTTAAAGGTACACTGTGAAAAGCAAAACTAACAGTGATGAACAAAAAACAATACCCCACAGAGGCACTGTAGTAGCCATCTACACAGCAATCCAGGTTAATATTGTACACTAACATCTTATGGTTACACTGAATGGGAAACCAGGCAAAGTCCAACCCTATGACATACATGCAGACTGCAGAGCAGTAATAGCCACTGGGGTGGGCATGGTTATTTACCCCCGTGATGTGCCATGACTTAGTCACTGCACTTACACCCATGTAAATGACTTGCAAGTAGAGGGACCATAGACTTTCTTACTTGGAATAACTCCAATAGTTTGTGTAACAGAGTTTTGCTGTTGTAGTTGCAGGTAATAGGCCGTTCTCGCTCCAGTGACTCTAATGTGTAAGCAACGCTTCCTTGCAACTTGAAACCCTTGTGGTCACTTACATACATGTGCTCAACGCAATTCATTGATACATGGATGTTTGGATCGGAAGGGACCTTAGCAGATCATTCAGTCCGACCCCCTGCCATGGGCAGGAAAGAGCACTGGGGTTAGATGACCCCAGCCAGATGTGTGGTGAGCCTCCTCTTAAAGCCCCCCAAAGGTCAGGGAGAGCACCACCTCCCTTGGGAGCCCGTTTCAGATTCTGGCAACTCTCACCGTAAAGAAGTTCTTCCTGATG